AGTCGAAGAGATACGAAAGGCCAAATTTGCGTATCGATATATTCCAAGTGAGTGTAATCCAGCAGACATAGCTACGAAAGGAATATCACCAAGCGATCTGGCAAATTTCACACTTTGGTGGAATGGGCCCGAATGGCTAAAGGAGGATCAAACTGGCCCCATTGAGAAAATGATATTAAACAAGAAAGCGATAACGAAGAAGGAGAACAAGTAGTAGTTATAGCGATTCAAGAAACTATTACCAAAACATCAATCAGATTTGTCGATGTGAATCGGTTCAGCAATTGGTCACGAATGGTCCGAACTACCGGAACTCAAATCAACCCATATGAATATGAATTTTGTTACTCAGATAAGCTCAATCAGAAGGACTATCAGTAGAGGAAATAAAGAAGCGCAACTTGTATTACGTAACGGGATTATGGAGGTTTAAAAGCCGATTGCAATTTCCAAGTAGTGGTAGTTGTATCTCATATTTAACATATCTCTCGAGACATAATCGAATAACAGAAATTATTATTCAAACATACCATGAAAAAATCCATCATGGCGGCATTCCTCATACAATTTCTGAATTAAGAAGATTATATTGGATACCTAAAGGAAGAGCCGAAGTCAAGAGAGTGTTGAATAAATGTTATGGATGGAAAGCCAAATCGTTTAAACTGCCACCCATGCCTGACTACCATGACTCCCGAACAGTACGATCCAGAATATTTGCTCGAATCGGATTGGATTATTTAGACCCTGTCACTGCTAAAACGAAAGTTGGAATGGCGAAAAGGTGGGTAGCATTATTTACATGTTTCACAACTCGTGCAGTGCATTTAGAATTAGCAGATGATTTATCTGCAGAAAGTTTTCTTACTGCGTTAAGAAGATTCGTATCACGACGAGGCTGTCCTGAACTAATTTTATCAGACAGTGCTAGCCAATTCCACCTAGTCTATCGAACGATCAAGAAACAAGAATCACAATTAAGTAATTTCCTTACAAGCAAAGGAATAATATGGAAGTATTAACGCCGAAGACACCGTGGAGTGGAGGAATTTATGAAAAAATAGTCGAAAAGTGTATAACGAAAGTGGTATAACGAAAAGTGCCTTTAGAAAAGCCGTTGGTAGAAAATTATTAAAGGAAAAGGATTTAGTTACCCTAGCAATCGAAATAGAGAGTATTATGAATACTCGCCCATTAACTTACGTGAATTTTGATGATTCAATAATTTTACGTCCTGTGGATTTTATTTCCCTCAATGCCTTACTAAATATACCAATGAGTAATAACAGTGACGAAGAATTTATTCCACATGAGTTAACCACTTATGATAAGCTTATTAAATATTGGTCAAAAACTCTTGAAACTCTTGATGTATTTTGGGAAATTTGGAAAGATGAGTACTTAAATAGTTTAAGGGAACGTACACAAATAAAACACAAATCTCCTAGAAGCGCAATAATACGACCACCTTCCCTAGGAGAAGTCGTACTAGTAAATGAACCACATATCCCTCGCGGAATGTGGAAACTAGCAAAGATAAATAAACTTAATAAGAGTAGCGATGGAAATGTCAGGAGTGTTCAGATAGAATTGCCTTTTGGGAAACTTCTCAATAGACCAGTTAATATGTTATATCCTCTGGAAGTGGAACAAGAAGATCAATCCGAAGATTCTGCAACTGAATTAACGAATGCAAAAGACGAAGAACCCATCGTACGGAGAACATCGAAGTTCAACAAAGGGGCTACGAACTCCAGCTGTGATCGAGAATGAAGAACCAATAGCGCGACGAACTAGAAGTTTGGCAAGACAACAACGAAATCCAATAAGCCTGAGGAGTAAGTCAAGTTTCACAATGTTATGTATAATGTTAGTAACAGTTCTATCCATAATGTCGACAAGAACATTAGCAACAAAAACCTGTAAATGGAGATCTGGAATATCATTTAACATCGCTAAAAGGGTGGATGACAATTTATTAGTTGCTCCTTGTAATTTGAGAAACATCACACAGAACACGGCTGAGTTCAAAGTTGGTATAATAAGCAAATTTGAAATTGAAAGAATCAATGCGAAAATAGAAATATTGGCTGACAAACAAAAACCCAATCCAGTATCTCATCGACAAAACATGGAAACTATCTGGCAAGAAATCAGTCAAGAAGGAGAAGAGCTAGCAGAACAGCTGGATGATGAGATTGGCAAAGCTACGTTACTGATACAAAACGAATTTTCAGAATTTGCCGTATATTGGCGCATGATTATTGGTGGAACCAGTATGCTCATTCTGTTGATAGTGCTAATTATTGTTAAATTAAATTGTCAATTGATTTTATTTCCTTTATGTCCAAAATGAAGTAGAAATTCAAATCAAGAAACCGTTGCTATCCCTATGAATTTATTAGGGGAAGACCTACACAACAAAAAGGAATTTAAAACTACCATTAAGAATGTTTTAAGTTATCAACCCAAATTCCTTCCTCTTGCTAGTTTTCTCCCCTCTCGGGGATGTCGAGAATTTTCTCGAAACTATGAATCATTGCTTATAAAAATAAAAAGGTCACTTTTTTCTTTTTTTTGAACGTAGTATGGGAGCAGGTTTTTTTTCTTCTTTTCTTTGCAATATAAACAGTTTTTTTTTAAATTCACGTTTTACCTAAACTATTGTCCCCATATTCAATAAAAATAAAAAATTATTATATTGTTGTGGTGTAACAGCCTTACAAACCCCGTTCAGTCTAAACGAAAAAGTCACAACAAAGTCACTCCTTTAAAAAATTTTCTCTATCTGAATTTTATAGAACTTTTCACGATAGAAGCTACTTTAGCATACTCAATATGAATTATTGTTCTGATAAGAATAAGGTAGATGAACTTGGTTAATAACAAGAATCAATATATTTAAAAAGTCCTTTTGTAAAGTTTCATTTCAATAAAAATTTATTCCAGTAAATGTTCGAATAAAATCATTTTAAATCGAAATAGTAGTCAAAATCTTTACAGCGTTGCTGGCGATCCATCTATCTATCGTCTAATGATTCCATACAAAAAATTTCTAATCGTATTAAACAGAACTAACTAGAAATGGAATGGTAAACGCCGCTTATCACTATTTAGATTAAATTAATTGAGACTTAATTATTCAATTAGAAAAAAGAAGTTTTGAAAATTGAAAGTTTTGAAATGAAATGTTAATTTAATTTCCTTATTTTCTTCAATGTTTAGTTTTTTTGATTTGTTGGAATTAAAATATTAGGTAAGGTTTGTTAAACAAAAAATTCTTGCGTCATATATCATTTTGTTTAAATTTTTTAATCACATGGACCAGAAATTTACGCCCCTTTGTCTTTAAAATGAATTTATGCCTTGAAAAATTTTTTTCATTCATTTCCTTTATTTTATTTCATTATGGTATGTGCAACATGATATCTGGCATTATCCGAGTTCTTTTGCTGTAGATATCATTCTTGTCAGAAGTGGGATCTGATACTTTATTGTAACTTTTATTATAATAACCGCTCGAAATTAAGAATCATTTTAGTTACTAAAATTTCATCCGACAATTAAAGAAAATTGATTGCCCGATTTGTAATTTTTCACTAATATTTTTTTATTATAGTATTTTTAATTTTGTGAAAATTTATACATACAAGAAATTTTATTATAGTAGTAAATAGTAATTCATTCAGTTAGATACGAAATTGGTTGCTATTCGTTCGTTCACTTTACAATCAATGAAATAATAGGATAAAAGTTTATTAAAAAGGATTTCATAGAAAGAATAAATCATATTCTTAATTGTAATATATTTTATTATTTTATTGTATGGTTTAAACATTATTGATCTTTGAATTTTTAGTTTTGAATTGTTTGTACAAATTTATCGAATTTATCAACATCCTTTAATCTTAAAAACATTTCGAAGAGAGTAATATCACCTGACTAATTAAGGCAACAATTCTCGGTCGTACAAATGCCAGCTATTTCTGATACAGATTATTCCAGAGAATTTCTGGTAAGCATTCTCATATGACCATTTAATTATGCAATCTATTAACTTCATTTTCCGATTAGAAAGTAGAAAACACATAGAAAATTGAGATGGAATTTTTGAAAATCTGAAATTTTTCAGAACTCCCCACTGAACTTTCCTTCTTGCATTGCAACGGTAATTGATGAATCGAATCAAAATAATATAATCGTAACGTTGAAAGAAAAACCTGGAAGTCTCATGGATGTATTGAAAATTTTTAAGGTATGATGGATTTTTAGATAGATCCAATTTTTGAAACTATTTTTATTAAATCGAAATTTCTATATGAATTTTAAAAATCTAAGCTTAACTTGTTAAATTTTATGTTGGATTTTCGTACAATTTTGGCATTATTTTATGATTGAAATGGAATATACGAGAAATAATTTTGAAGGATCACAGTGTGAATTTATCTCATATCGAATCCAGGCCATCAAAATTACATAGAGGTTGTTATGATATTTTCCTCGAGTTTGCCAAGGGAACTGATAAGAATGTGGTGAAGAGAATTCAAAATATGTTTATGCAAAAGGCTCGATATGGCATTAGCCGTAAAACGACCACCAAACAGAATAAATTAGGTAAACTAGGTTTATTTCAATTCTTCACTGCACCACCCTCAGCAATCTGATGAAAAATTAAAAAGCGATATAAGTAAAATTTATTGAGATGGAATACCTTGGTTTCCAACTAAAATGTCTGATCTCGATTTATTTGTTTGGGGCGATGGAGCACAATTGGATTCTGATCATCCTGTTAGTTTTTCTATTCAACCTAAGTATATTGCAACTATTTCTTCCTTTCTTGGTGCATATAAAGATAGGATTTAATTTTTAGGGATTTACGGACGAAATCTATCGAGCTCGTCGCCAATATTTCACTGATATTGCACTTAAATATAAGTAGTAAGTTGCACCTCAAAACGATTGCTAACTTTTTTTGAAAGTTTAAAAAACTAACAGGTTTTTACTTTTTTCCTTCTATTAATATCTGCTTCGCTTAATTTATTAGAGTAATATTTCATCGTCGCAAAATGGCTAAATGTCAAAATGCAGACGAATTTATAACAATGTTACTTATGAAATTGTTGGTGAATTATTGTTATATTATTGGTTTAAATGAAATATGTTTCTTTATATTTCAGTGGTGAAAAGATTCCAAAAGTTCAATATACGGAAGAAGAAATTAAAACTTGGCGAACAGTTTATAACAGTCTCATCAATTTATACCCTACCCATGCTTGTGCTGAATTTAATCGGATATTTCCACTGCTTCAAGAATATTGTGAATTTGGACCTGATGCGATTCCACAGCTTCAGGATATTTCTGATTTTCTCAGAGGCAAATTTTAATAATTACTTCAGCTTTTCTATAATGCAAACCATTACTGCATTTAGAAAAAACTGGTTTCACGATTCGACCAGCAGCAGGATTGATAAGTTCTCGTGATTTTCTGGCTGGTTTAGCCTTTCGAGTCTTTCACTCAACTCAGTACATTCGGCATTTTTCAGTTCCACAATATACGCCTGAACCGTTATTTTTTTAAGCTGATTGATTATGCTTCTAAAAATTAATTAAATTAAATACTGGTTTTTTATTTTAAACAGGCTTGAATATAACAAATGAAACTCCTTTGGTAAAATTAATAAGTGAGCTCTTATAATTTATCACTGAATCATATCATTTTTTTCATTTGCAACTATAGAGATATATGCCACGAAATTCTTGGCCATGTTCCTCTCCTTGCCGATCCAGAATTTGCGAGTTTTTCTCAACAGATTGGCCTTATTTCACTTGGTGCGCCTGACATAATGATTGAAAAATTAGCTACAGTATGTTTAGAAAATTTTATACAACTAATTCATGCTTCTAAAAATTCTAAAAGTTTCAAAATATGGAGAAAATATTTTTACAATCAAATAAACTTTTCTTTTGTATTTAATCAATTTTTTTGACGTTCTCTCACTGAATGCATAAAATCTTACCGAACTGTTAAGTTTTATTGGTTCACTGTCGAGTTTGGAATTTGCTCACAGAACGGCCAGCGAAAAGCTTATGGCGCTGGATTACTTAGTTCATTTGGTGAACTTCAATATGCACTTACAAATCAGGTTTCGAAGTTCATTCTAATATTTAGGTACTGGTACTATGATACTTATGGCCTTAAATTGCAAAAAATTACTGAAAACGATGGACAATCAAGAAATACCTTTTTATATAAAATAAAAGTTTGTAGCCCGAAATCAAGGATTTTGATGCGGAGGAAATCACGAACACTATTTATCCGATCACGGAATTTCAACCGCGATATTTCCTCGCTGAATCATTTGTTGACGCCAAGAGAAAGCTTACGTGAATTATTATTTCATCGCTATAGCATAGAGCTGAACATACTGTAATTTAGGAATATTATTTAGTGCCTTTAAATAATGGATACTTTTTGAATAAATTTCGGATAAAACGAGGCAGAGCAGCGGAGTAATTATCTCAGACGTGATGAAAGTCAGAGCCTCAGCACCCAGCAGAATACCTCGCTTAAAAAATTCCGATTATTAGCAGTCCACTTTAAGTGAGTCACTGGAAAAAATTCACAACTAAACCAATAGCCAGCGAAGCGTGTTTAGCAGGAAATGGCAAGCGCGCTGATCACTTATTTATATTCTTATATTGATGAAATACCAAAGATAAGCAGTGAGAAGAAACTTGAAACCACAAAAAGAAAATCCATTATAGTTTGTTTTAAACTAATGACCAAATCATTGTCCTAATGGCTTGAGCAGTGCTTGGAAGAAACAAAAAAATTTAACGTTTGTTTAACTTTAAAAAATTTAACTTTGGAAGAAAAAATTGGTACCATAAATTTTAGGTCCTGGGCTGAAATTTCAATCAGGCGACCATTTAATATTCGATATGACCCTTATACACGTGAAATTGAAATACAAGACTTGATTTCAAGTGCCGAACAGTTCGCGCGAAATATCAAAGGCATGTTCCTCATTAGTGCTGAATATTTTATGGAATTTTTTGATTTGCTTGATTTTTTTGATTTGTAACAATAAACCAATAAACCAACAATTAATCAAGCGAGCAAAATCAGATGCAACTTAGATTTAAACTATAAAATGTAAATTATAAAAAAGTATGATGTTGAAAAGAAATCAATTTTACATTTCACAACTCTACGCTATAACGTAAATAAAGTAGAATGCAATTAGTGCGATAATATATGATTTAATATTTAGCTTTTAATATTTACTTTTTTCAAAACCAGAAATCTTCAAGTAAAATAAAATTTGCTCAGATTTTAAATGTTAAATCCAAGTCTGAAAGTCGAGATTTTTTTTCCATACCTGCAAAAAAATTGGTATAGCGATATAGAAAACATTTGAACGACTTTATATATATATATATATACAAAATTTCAGATGAAATCAGCAAATTGGAAGAAATGCTTACTATATTCGTTCATTTACTATAAAGACCGTCAATACAAACCAGCAAATAACGAAACCCGTGGGATAATATTTTCAGTGGTTATTTTAAGCTACTGGTAAAAACTGCAACACATTTATACAATGATTTATATATGGATATGTATAAATGTATATAATATAAAATTCATTATATATATATATATATATACATGGCATATTTTTTTTTTGCATTTTGTTTCCAATATATTTTTATTTTTATTGTTTTCTGCATTAATATCCTTATAATTTGTTTTAAAAAGAAATTTATTTAAAGTTTTAGAAAAAAATTTGGGCTGAACTTCTTTTAATTTTTAAGAAAACTGGGATCAGCGACCGCGTAATAAAAAATTAATGCGGTTTATTAGTGCCTAAGCTACAAGTTTTTCTGAGCCACCGCATTTTAAATTATTTTTTATAATTTAATTTTCATTTTTTGCATTTGTTTTAAAAAATAATTTTGGTGGAATAAATGATTTTTAAAATAATTTTGGTGGAATAAATGATTTTTAAAAAATATTTTTAAAAAAATATTCATATTATGCTTACTCCCCTCATTTAGTAAAATTAGCAGTAAAATTAAATGCTTTAAAAATTATTAAAAATATTTAAGAGCATTCGAAATATTTTATTACAACCTTCTGTTTTCGTCTTCTAACAGCTCACGCCATTACTGGTTAGGCTGGCTCCAGTGGCTTTCAAGCGGTGCAGTCTGATGCCATCGTCGACAGTAATAGAAGTTATTCTTTTTTCCATCGTCTAAGTCTGTATATTGCTGGTCCACTTATATATTCAAAAACTTTCCTGACCGTATCATTTCAACTCTTGATTGGTCCATCTCGCTTTTAACATCACCCAAAACAGGATTTAGCAAGTAACAAAATATCTGTCGACTCCTATGATTGGCGATAGAGAATATGCCTTAATCAGCGAAGCTGTGATGATACTGTTAATGGTATTTGAGCGACGGTAGATAGATAGATTCATGAGATTTTATTCGCTTAGTAGATCCGTAAAATATATTTTAGATGTTTCAAAAACATAATTTCTTGATATCTTCCACTCTCATTGGTCTCAGAGACATATAGCAAGATCGAACAAATCACTGCTATCTAGATACAGACTTTCGTTTTTATGGTGATTTCACGACGGCTCCATAAAGATTTTGTCAAACAGAAAAACGCATTTCTAGCTGCCGTGATCCGGATTATGTAATATATATCGTTTTTTGCCTAAAATTAATGCACTTCGACAGTCGCTTTACCGTTTAGGCTAGAGATTCATAGATTCCAAGCATGGTCGAGTCCATGCATAAATAAGTCAAATACTTTTTCAAATCCCATACAAAATGTATATGAAAATTCTAAGGAGTCTGATTGAAAAGAGTTTTTTTTAAGGAACAGCACAAGGAAAAGGCTAGGAATCCTTTAGCCTGGGCGCTCGTACCAGCTTGCTCCACTACTTTGGTCTGTTATGATACTTCTTATTTTGAGGCACATAAAGTTTTTACCTATTACGAAGTAGATTAAATTATACCTATTATGAAATATTAAATATCTTAAATAATTAGTTTAAAAATAGTATTTATGAGAAAAAATATTAAAATCCAGAAAAATGAGCAAGGTATATTTCATGAATAACAATTTAAAAAAGTGCAATGAATGGGATTATCTTTCTATTCATCGAATTTTATCATTTAAATGGAATACGGTAGAATTCTCAAAGCAAGCAGTGAAGCATTTAAAAAAACTTCAATAATTCAATAACTTGCACAATTTCGAGAAGGAAAAGGACTGAAAGAAACTATCAAACATGTGAGCACCAGTGAAGAATTTTTAAAATTCTTTTATTATCCAGAAAATTATGACGATTCATAATTTTTTCAATCGCAAACGTCAAAAAATCAATATACCCTTCCGCATATTGTTTCGAATCAATTAAAAGCTATAATTTTTGTAGCATTTCAAAAAACCGAAGCTGGTGGGAATATAATAACTTTAATGGTTCTTAATTCGAAAGTGTTAAGGAAAAAAATTTATGAATTCCAGCTTCTTTTAATATTTGATAATAACATTTATTAGAATATTGGACAATCACCTAGACATTATCTAGACAATGATGAAAACGATATATATATATATATATATATATATATACATGGTAAATATGATAATTAATTTAGTGAATAATCGTATCATAAAAGGATTGCTTAAATTTACGAATTGGTGACACTAGAGAGGGCAATCTGTGGCATTTGAAATTTCAAATAAGATGAATTTGGAGTTCGAACCGTGCATCTTGAAAAAAAGCTCATTAAAAATAAAAGCAAATTTTTTGACGGCTAAATTTTATACTAAATGTTTCATAACACTGTGTAATCAAGTAGAATTAATTATTCAGTAATTTGCATAATTTCAAACCGAAAAGCCAGTTTCAACATCAATTATCTTGTGGTTTTTTTTTGATATTTTTGAACATATCATAACAAATTTTTAAATAAAACTATAATTATATTAATATTTTATCTATTTAAATTTTAAAAAATTTAAACATGTAAACTTACAATGAAAAAATTTTTAAAATGTTTTTTCTCTGAATTTATCATTAAATCATTAGAGTTACAGCGACCCTTGAATCAGAAGCATTCTAATGATTTATTTCAATCCATTTTGTATTAATATTATATATTATAAAATATGTTTTGGATGTAATCATGCAAATAAGGTTCAGATGTGATAAATTAAAATTAGAAATGATGGTAGAAATATATTTTTTCCGTATTTAACGACTCGTTTACGCAATAACTTTATAATTTTTTTTTATTTGTTTAATATAATGTAGATTAATTTTTTACTAAAATTTCCGATTAAATAACAACGATGTTTTTCAAAAAATTTCAGGTATTTTGGAAAAAAGCAAAAATAGCATAAATTTTTAAGCGAAACATATCCAGTTCCCTAAAATTTTTGAAAAAAAGCTGGTTTTGAAGTTCTATGAATGGAATGAACGATTGAGCATTGTTTCGATTGAGGTCGAGAGGCGTCCCTGTCATTCAATATCAAATCAGGTTTAGAAATTAAATCTTGGTAATGTAGATTTCGCTGCTCTTCTACCGTCAAGGTATATTTCATGAATAGCAATTTAAAAAAGTGCAATGAATTGTCTTTCTATTCATCGAATTTTATCATTTAAATGGAATACGGCAAAATTCTCAAAGGTTCTCTGGCGAAGAAATCTTTTTCTCCTGTTGATCAGTGGAGCCATCCAACTTAGGAGTGGTGAATATGTTATAAAAATGAAAATGGAATAACAGCTATATCAGTGTTTCGCTCAAAAATTTTTGTTCTTTTAATAGTAGCAAAAAAATAAAAAAATAGTAAAAAATTGAAAAGAATAGTTTATTAAATATTTGTTGATTTTCATGTTTTGATTCATTCATTTTTTTTTATTATTTTAAGGAAAAATTTAACACAGTTTTTAGAAAACATTTCCAAAATTATATTTAATCATGGTGCGAAATAAAGGCTAAATATCAATGCTGTTTAGCACATAGAAATTTGAATAAAAAGTTAGTCATCTTCTGCTTGATATCGGAAATGGAAGGGTCCATCTGCGCTACGTGAAGTTCGCTCTCGTCTATTTGCATTACTTCCTGAATCGTCTGTGTAATATTCCGGATAGTAACCTTGTGAACCATATGCATCCATATTCTAAAATAATAATAATTATAACTTATTCTAAAATAGGACCATGAATAGTGATATTTAATTTAAAACGAAAAAAAATTGTTGAAAAATTTTATAAAATATGTGTATGAATGAGTCTTATTCTCATGTCTACGCTATTGAAATAGGAAGATGAATTAGCAATAGTGGTAGTGTTAGTCGAATGAGGAGGAAACCGTATGATGTCGATGTATTACATATATGTGAATGTATTTCGTCGCCATTTTATACGAAAACTTACTATTGCATAGGTTATAATTATTAAAAAAATAAGCAAGTACGACGATCTCATAATTTTGATTCTGAAATAATTATTACATGAATTATAGATTATAGCAAAATAGCATCGAGTAAAATAGCAATCAATCTATATCATTATGGAAATTTGTAGTGTAAAAAATTGAAACAATGAAGTAGCGTACAACCGGACATATTATAGCATAAATTGAGAGGCATAACAGTCGAATAGACAATGACTTTGATTATCGTGATAAGAATTTGGGTATGAATGAAATAAACGACAAGAGTTTGGCCTCTTTCAGCGACAAGAAGTGTCATTAAAAATCTGGGTAGCAATGACTTATTTGTTTATCTATAGCCATTAGCTTATAAAAATTTCTAACCGCATATAATAGCCAATGAAGGTAGTCTAATCACAAATGATAAGAATCAATCATTTATTTATTTACTTTGAAGTAGCGCATAACCGGACATATTATAGCATATGTATACCAAGTAATCAAGTAGATGGCATTGCCTACAGGAATATCTGCTCACTATCTGGTTTGGACTCTCCCAAGGTTATATGGAAAATCTTCTATAAAATCGTGAAGAATAATAAGACCAAGATCCTGTAGGACTTGTCCATCTAGACAAATAAACAAGTACTAGCCAACCAACGAATTGTGCGAGTGGTTAAAGGCCAGAAATCAGAACTGGTGATAGATATAGTAATACCGATCGACAGAAACGACGAATAGGAAGAAGGAATGTGAGAATTTGGAAGAATACCAAGGACTGAAGGATTAGCTAGATAAAATGTGGAAAATAAAGGGTAAAACGATTCCAGTGATGGAGCATTTGGAATTGTTACCACAAACTGAAAAATTGCTTCAGCAGATTCCAGGAACAATAACAGAGATCTTTTCCCAGAAAAGCACACTGATAGGGACAATTAAGACATTGAACCCTCAAACTCTCAGGTAGAAGTTTCTGACAGACGACCTGAAGTTGAGGATGACCCATACCAACCACTGTTATATATATGTATATATATATATGAT